TGCTGGCATTTTGCACAATTAAGAACTGCTTTTTGCAAACGAACCCGAATTTGATAAGTATTTATAGTATTTTTGATGAGTTGGAATTTTTTATTTTTTATTTTTACTTCCAGAGATCTCAATGTTTATTCTGTTGAAGTTTTGTTTAATCTGTCAAATTATCTTCGTTCGTAGTAGGTGTTGCATCTAAGTGCGTCTTGTTAAAGGAATTAATTGATTTTGATATGCATTAGTGCTTGATCAGGCAGTGTTACCAAAATCCTTCTCTTTGCCGCTTATATGAAGCAATGCGAAACGAGGGGTTATCGCTTCCTAGGTGAAGAAATGTGCTTCCTTTAAATTGATGACTTCACAAAGTGAATTAAACCAAAAGTTATCTGTTCTTTAAATCTCAACTTAGAAGAGTTGGATTAATATTGACATTATTGTAGATTGGAGGTTGAAATTAGTTATGTTAATTACAATTTGACTAATATATTACGAAATTCATTTTTTAAAAATGACAATGGTGTCTGGGCCAACTTGCGAGCAACTCGACAATTCCACTAAGGTACCGGGTAACTCTGTCATCCAAGGTTTAGGTAAATGGAAAGAAATCACCTAGTATTTTTTGGCCTCCATTGGGATTTGAATTGGAGATGTCATGGTTCTCCTCCTATTTCATTGACCACTAGGCCACATTACTAAATTCATATATGTCTAGTTATCTTCTGTGATTGTGCGCTTCACTTCTCTATTTTCACTTCAAGCTCCAAGGACTTTGTCGTTTTCAGTTTTCACGCCGCTTTTAAAAATGCTGTGTTGCTATATGTGTCTGTTAGATTTGTCTACATTTGTGCTTAGAGCAAGCGTTATGTCTATTGCTTAGGCAGTTTCTTTATCCATCGGAAGAGGACTTGTACGAGTTGGTCCGATTCTTGGTTGGGAGGCTATCTGATGTTGAAGCTCGAAAAGATGCAGTTAGTGAATCTAAAAGACGCCTTAAGACTCCAGAAGAAAATGTTGATGATACAGGACCACTGCCACATAAGGAGCTTTTGGGAAGAGTGGGTGATCCATTGATGATGACACAAACACCAGAGTCGTCACAGCGATCTTATCTTACCACGAATAAGATGGATGAGTTTTATAATGGTGTTCATATACCTGGAGAAGGTAGAGTTGACTCCAGCGAGGAGATATCAGGCGGTGAGCAAGACGTCCTGGATTTGGTGGAAGGCGTGAGGAGTTCTTTGAGGGAAAATGAACATGATTCTGAATATGGACTGCAATCAACTTCGCCGTGCGTGAATTTGCCTCAGGTACTTAATAGTAGGTGGATTGCATCTGATCTTTAGTGAATTTTTGGTAGACCTTTTAGGCTTTGAGGTAGATAGGTCGATGTTAATGGAGCGGACAAGCTGACAATTTAGAATTGGAGCATATTTAGGGAACAGACAATGATATTTGATTTTGTGGTTAGGCTTTCAGAAAGACTCCAGCATGTTAACTTCTCTTATTATTTCATGCCATTCTGCAGATGAACTGCAAAACAGGAACTTTACAAGACCAAAAGGAAATGCTCGTGGAGAAGTCAGTCTCAGGGTCTGTCGAATTACATAAACTTCAAGAAAAGCTTGGTTTGTTGAGAGCAGCAGTTAATATGGCTTCTAATGAAAGTTGTCCCACTAACTTTTATGTGAATCAACTAAACGATCCGGTCGAACTGAAAATGGGCAAAATTGTCGAAATGGAGAGCCATTGGTAGTATAATGATCTGTCGCTTTATTAAGCATCCCTAGAACACCTAAAGAAAAATGAGTGGAACGATTCAGTCTCATGCATGTTCTAGAGTTCTAACATCATTTCTTATATTTCTTTTTTGAAACTTGGATAACTATCTCAACTGTAGTTCTGCTTACATATAAAAAAGTTTTTGCTGGTTACAGATGCAAGCTCGGGATAACTTCTAAAGTCTCTTGCAGGAATGATAAGAGAAAGGCCCTTGAGCAGGAAAAGAGTTATCTTGAGGAAACGTTAAAAGCAGCAGAGCCAGAGAGCTATTTAAAATATAAAAAGTTGGAAGAGATTGAGTTGGAGCTGGAGTTTATATTAGCTGAAAAGAAAAAAAGGTAGGTCATCATCAATTAAGTCATGCAGACTCTCCATCGCCTTTTAGATTACCTAGTTTGACTAGGAACAATATTGAGAGAAGAAATTGTGTTGTAGCCAATGAAAGAAGTAGCAGAAGAAATCATAGAATAGGAAACTCTATTTGTTTGATTTTGAATCGGTAAATGTATTAGAGGATAACAATTAATATGTGAAAAGTGGAATATTTAGTTGAAAATATGATACGGCATGATTAAGTTACTATACAACATTATTGGTTCTTATCGGTTGGATTCTTTGAGAATAGAATCTGTCGTTACTCATTAGAGGAAAGAGGCTAAATAGTGTGGGATAGAGGGATATTTGTCTATATATAAATCAGAGCTTTTTACGCGGCTTAAAGCCTTAACATCTTACTGCATGTAAACTGTCAAGAATCTATGACTGGAACAGACACTAACTGCATTGCAGATTGTCATGGTTTTGTGAGCCTTGAAAGCTGCTAGACTATATGGGTTACGAAGTTAACTCATTTATGTAAGTATGTTGAGAAATTGCATCAAGGTGGTAACTTTGTCTGGATGTTTGCTATCTGTCACTCTGCAGAGAGGAGGAACTTATTATACTCTCAGCAAAGGCCGAGAAGCGGCCCGAATTGGAACCTAGGAGTACCTACATTCAGCGTATTGAAGAGATCACAAAAAACAGCCAGAAGCAGGATGCTGACATAGAAAGAATCTTAAAAGAAACAAGGGAGCTTCAGTTGGAGAGCAACTCTATCCAAGAACGGCTTAATCGAACTCATGCAGTGGTGGATGAGATGGTGTTCAGGTACAATCTTTTGTTATGCTGGTGATTACAAAATTGGCTGTGTTAATGAGAATGTAGATTTCTCTAATAATGTAAATTGTCTATATTTTTTTACAAGGGAGGCAAAAAAGGACCAGGTAGGACGGCAAGCTTACAGGATACTTACTAGCATCCATGACAGCTTTGAACAAATAGCCGAAAATCTTCTTGCAACGGATAGAGCCCGAAGAGAAGTGGCTGATTATGAAGGCAAGCTTGCAACTATGGCGTCTCGGACCGTTGATATTGACAAGCTGAAAGCAGACCTTGATACCATCAGGAGGGAAAATGATCTTCTTGAAGCACGTCTGTCCGAGAATTTGTCCAAAGACTCGTCACAAAGTGTAGGGTAGAACGGCCGAAGTTGATTGATTCTTTAAGATGAAAAGCTTGAATGTTGGGAACTCTTTTGTCGCATTTTTTGAACTGTGACACCACACGCACACAGTGATTGAGTGATGATTATAAGGCTCCCCATTTGACGATATTGAGACTTGCTCTACATGTTCGCACCCGAGTAACTATAGTTGACGTTGCCTGTAATCATGAGCCTAAAAGCAAACGTGAGGTTGCTTCCACATTCTGAAATGTGGGGGTCTGCTCTTCTTTATTTTTCATTCAAATAATGAGAAGCCTGACTAAGGTTTTACCATTTTAAACACAGGTCCATGCTACTTTTTGATTCTTTTTTCTAAGCGAAATATTTTAAATTGTTGGACATGATAGTACACTACTCTTGAACATTACAGGCATTCTTCAAATAGTGACCCAATACATTTCAGAAAATAAGATTGAGTTGATACGACCATTCCCTTTATTATAGTTTAACTGAGTGGATGGAAGCAGCCAAGAAGGGAAGTTTTTAAATACCAAATCCCCACCTCACTCGAGGAGACTGAGATCTGGGATAATTTGGTTGCTCACTCACTACTTTAACGAGTTCTTGATACTGTGGCTGAGTTGCCTTCTGCTCCTTAAACCTTCAAATTTCTATTAAAAGTGGAAAAAAACTATTTCTCTTTTAAGAATTTAATTACAAAAAATTTAAGTTCTACTCGCTGAGAGTGTAAGTATTGGATTGAAATGGATAGGAGTCGAATGGTTATGGAGAATTCATAAAACCTGGTTGTAGCAGATTAATTACCTATTTCCAGGTTACAAATTAGACAACACGTTGGTTTTAAGTACTCTTGAACTGATAATTAAAAAAATCCTTATACCCTTCAGTAAGTAGCACTTAAATTCTTTGAATGCCCCCTGTAGCTCAGTCAGAGTGCTATATTATGGGATATAGAATAGTCGAGTGCGCTACTGGTAACTTTTGCTTCGCAAACAATTGCATGGCTTTAATATATAACCTACTCTTAGGTGGCAGAGGCGTCCTTTTCTACACTGTTTTATTATCTTTAACTTCTACAACTGTTCTCACAACTATCAATCATGAGTTTCAAATCCTTCGCATTCCAAGTGGTTCTTGTCATCACAATGAGTATTTTGTGTTAAAAATTCTCCCTTTTGTGGTATGGCCTTTCACCTTTGGTTGGGAAATCACAGTGTTACTGTGGTGCCATTGCAGCTATTGGCGATTTTATAATGAATTGCTGTAAATATTTCATGCAAGCTGTGATCTCACGCGTTGTTCTAGGACAACTCAAGTATATCTTAAGTATATGTGGTGCCATTGCCGCTATTGGTGGAATATCAGCTTACACATACCTTAACCTGAAAGAAGCAAAAGGAAAGGCAAGCAACAATTTCCACAGCACAGTTTATCTCCTTCAAAACTCAGGAGTACAGAAGATGACAACACAAAAGAATCAATTTCTGGATGCAAGATGTTGCAACATATCAGCAGCTAATTTTGTCTTTGTTAATTGCATAAAAGGATCTTATTCATTAAACACACAAAGTTGGTGAAAATTAGTTCGCATGCACATTACCATTTTGTTGGAAAGAAAAATCAACACATCCAAGAAGGATCAAATACCACCACGAGTAAATTGGAGAGAGGAGAAAGGGGAATAGCGGATATGTGTTATCTTTATAGTGACAGAGGCGCAAATGTCAAGCGTTTCAAGATGTAATAGTATCTGTCTAGTCAAAATTTGATATACAAGCTAGAAGGGGTAATGGAAACAATTAAGATATTTCACCTGCTCCACTCATACTTCAAAAAACCTCATTCAGTCTCAAGAAGATTAGGGAATTGAGGAAAGCTAACTGCTAACTATCAAAAGCAAGAAACCCTGTTTTAGCTCCAAAGGTTAAAAATTCTACATTCCAACGTGATCTCACTGAGAGTGCCTAGTTCCAGCCACATCTTATATACACTTGGAAGAGGATGGCTTTGATCTATCAGTGATGTCTATATTGCATACTTAAGTGATGCAAACAGAAAGTGTAGTTATGGTCTTTATTCTTAGAGGTTTTCTCTGTTCAACAATTTGTTGTTCCAATGAATATTTGCTTGAGGTTGTTGACAAGCACCAGATGTAGGAAGGTCAGATTCAACTGATCTGGTAACAGTTTGAGGTTGCTGGGCCAGGGGCTGAACATTTGATGGTACAGCTATTGTCAGAGATGGATTAATTCCAGGAAAAGAACTATTAGCAGAATGTGCTGGTGCAAAACCAACTTGCTGGTCCTGAGGGAAGTTGTAAAAGTAATTAGCCTGCAGCATTGATAGATCACGTCCAGTTGCCGAGGTCCTGAAATGGGAATCTTCATTCTGCATGCACAAAAGATCAGGTGATATCTCCGTATCAGAATTGGACATAAACCGGTATATGCTTTATGATAGATTCACATAATATGCCACATTTAAATCAAACAAGGATATGAGCTTGTAAAATAACAAATTTGAAACTCAAGCATGACGGTAAAAGTACAAGAATCATGAAGAGTTTGCTACTGAAGTAGGAAGGAATAGAAAGGAGATGGCTCCGTTGCATACTCAAATTAGTTAGAAAAGGAAAAAGGAAAAAAGAAACACAAACCTGTTTTTGCGTGGAGTAAACATTCTTTTCTTTCAGCTCAGATGCACTGAGATCTTCATTGCTAGCTGAACAAACAGGAGCTGTAGTTGCACTGTATGAGACAGTTGAGGACCCATATGAACTGTAGCTAGTAGGAACGCCGAAGTGGTTCAAGTTTCCAGCAATAGCTGCTGGTTTGTACAGAGACGGAAGAGGTAGTTTGACACCAGCAGCATTAACTGATGGTGACATATAAAAGTTGGCAGCAGAAGGTTGCTGAGGGAAGCCACTCGGGCCCAGAAACTGGTGAGCACTCTGTGGCATGTAAAGATGGGGAATGTAAGGGTTATACGGAATATAATTAGGAGGAAATGGTTGCCGGACTAAAGGAAACAAGTGCGGAGGCACGGTGACAGAACTCTGCCCAAGGCCTATGGGTTGAGCCACAGATGAATTAGAGCTCGACATTGAAGGAGCTTGAGAATTCCCACCCTGCAGCAGCCAATGGATATATAAAAACTTAGTCAGACCAAAAATAGCAGACACAAAAAGAGAAGAGATAGAGTGGTGTGGGGAGGGAAGGAAGATAAGGATTTCACTAATTATTGAACATTCCAAACCTCCAAAGGAACTATGGAAATGAACAGCTGACAAGCGCCAAAAGGCACCAAATAAGACGCATAATTTATGTCAAATAGCTTTATTATCAAGCAGAGAAACATTCTTCTACAAGTAAGGTCACAAGAATCTCCAGCAAAATAACTTTCCTAGCAGAAGCAGGGAAAACATTTTCCAAAATTTTCTTTCAAACTTCCCCAACCCCTAGACCCCCGACCTCACCTTACTAGGGTCGGGTCTGAGCACGACCCCTATCCCAACCCCCTAACCCCACATTGACCAGAACTTTGACCCATATCCTGACCCTCGACCCTAAGCATGAGCCCAACTTCGACCCTAATACTCGACCCGACTGCAAACCCCAACCTTGGACCCGACCTAGAACCTCGAACCCGACTTAGATCCCTCCTCCCATCCTCAATCCCGACCCCCAACCCTGACCCCTGATTCAGGACCCAATCCCAACCTCAAAACCCATCTTCGAATCCCGATCCAACCTCGACCCCAGACCTGGACCCCAACGCCGCGCTCCCCCCTTCCTCACCCCTCAACCATTTCGTCTCCCATAATGTTTATCTAAATAATATATTTTTCAAAAATTATTTTTTGCTAGCTAACCAAACACCAGAAAATAAGTAAGAAAATCACTTATTTCCAAAATAATATTTTCCAGGAAATCATTTTTAGTGGAAAACATTTCCTTCATACCAAATACGCCCTTAATGTATTTAAGAATTTTACGTTCATATCCATCTCTGTTGGTATAAAAGAAAGCATCGGCTGCATATTAAGTGTCTTACCCTGGACATACACAAGTATAGTTGTTTAAGTTAATTGTTGTCCAACACAAAATGAAGCACCACCACTCCAGAGATGATGTCTACTCTGACTAGTCATGGTCCAGATCAGATCTTGTAGAATGAAAAACTAAATAAACAACTAATCTGCAAGTGAACCGACAAGTTATGCCAAATTTGTTCTACTCTTAAAGTAGTCATGTTTACCCGAAAAATCGGATAAAGTTGAATTTATGTATGGTTCTAAGGGCAAGTAGATTCCTCTGATATGAAAATAACAATGTATGTATTTATGATGCAAAAATAGAAGATGATGAACAAAGACACTAGGTGAGCTTTAGAAAGATAAACACAATGAATTCTTAATCCCCCTTTCAGAAGTGACTTCTATTACAAACTCTCCTGGCCTTTATAGCCAAGGATTGCTACTTTATCTATAGCAACATGATGGAATAAAAAATTACTAGTGGAGGACCCATGATGGTATGTCTCCTCCTTAATTCCCGCAGAGATTCTCTCCTTTGGTGCGGTTGTAACAGCTTTTGTCTGTGAGCTCGATACCGACTCGAGCTCGGTACAGGATCAGAACCTCGGCCTTGATTTCGAGCTAGGTGATCACTTTTGGGCATCGATGTTTGGGACCTGTATCGACCGATGTTACCTCGGTCGGTTCGAACGCCCGGGCTCGACGCCCCCCATCTCGGAATTCGCTCGGGGTCTCCGTGAAGGTACCCCTCGATTGAAAACGCCGTCCTCGATCGATCTTCACGATCGATGATCGATTTTAACCGTACACAGATAACCCCCTCATTTCTCGGAAAGGAGATGATGAGGAACGATGTGATTTCCCTAAGGTTCGATTGAATTGACAATGACGTGCGCGATAGCTGTCCCATCGATTTTGTTTTATTGAGGCATTTAATGCTCGCCAGTCGGTGGTCGGCCACCGCTAGGCTAATCGCCATGCCTTATAAATGATTTTCGCATACAATGTTTCCCACTTCTGTGCTTCCTCTTTTCCCAAATTCTCTCTCATTAGTTTCTCTTATTTCGTCGTTTTGGTGTCGTTTGTACCAGAGTTTTGGTGTCGTTCCCTCTTTCACCTTTCTTTGTGACTTTTCTTCTCGTATCAATGGCTAAAACTTCAAAAATCGTACCTCTCAAGGAGAAAGCTTCTTGCTCACGGCCGTGTGACGATAAGGCGCCGACCGAGCCGTCCGTTCAAGATTATATTCCCGGCCCGTGTATTTTAAAGGCTGATTTTAAAGTGGAGAATCCTTCGTCTGTTCCGGGTCGGTGCGAGCACGTATCGATGTATATGTGCTCTATAGCGGAGGTTAACCTCGAGGCCGTCAGGAAAGATTGTGGCTGGGGTTCTGAGGTTGTGATACAAATTCCCTCATCCGATGAGAGCGTCACTACCTATGTGGAGGGATTTCTGAGTATTTACACCTACCCCTTCACGTTGGGAGCTGTCGATCCTGTGATTTTTGATTTTTGCAGGAGATATCAGGTCACCCTCGGCCAAATTCATCCTTCCTTATGGCGTATAGTCATCTTATTGCGTTTCTTCTCTGTCAAAGCCGGAGGGTTGGATTTTTCTCTGAGCCACCTTATACGACTGTATCGGCCTCAGATTTATCGTGGACTTATTAGGCTATATCGTGGGGCATCGAAGGCTTTGATGTCGAGTATCAATGAAGACAAGGATCGAGGCTGGATGGGTCGGTATGTTCGGGTGAGGACTCGTGATCTTATCCCGGAGGAAAAGATGCCGTTTCCTGAAAAATGGAACTTCGACCGTAAGTGATCCGTGTTTGCTTTTCGCGTCTTTTTCCGTGTTTGCTAATATTGTTTTTCTGATGTCTAGCTGCACCTTGGATGCCACAAGCTGTGCCTGATCACGAGGATTGGGTTCGAAAGTTAGCCTCGACTTCATCCTATGCCGAGCGCGCTTGGCGTGATTTGGCTAAAGGTAGATGGGATGCCAATAATCATGGTGAGGTTTGGTTCCTATTTCTCTCGAGGTATATTCTGCGTTCATTTCGTTATTGATTTCTCCCTTGTATATAGGTGTAGCTAGGGATGCCGTTCTGCGGCCTTTGAGCGTTGATGAAGGCAACAAGCCCCCGGTCCTGGAACAGGGGAAAGAAAAGAAACGAAGGGCTTCTTCTCGGCCGGAGGACCCTAAGCCCAAAACTCGAACGGTGAGGAGAAAAATCATTGCCCTTTCGATCGACTCGGTCCATCGACTGAGGGAGGAAGAAGAAGATAGCTCCTCGGCTTTGGTAGTCTGACCCGCGGAGGCAGTCGAGGTCGTTAGAGCCGCTGAGCCAATGGCGGCCGTGCCAATCGGGGTTGGTTCCGAAGACCTAGATCTCGATCGAAGTACTCCGAGTGATTTGCTTGGGGCAATGGCAATGGGCCATTCACCTTCTCTTCCGTCATTTTCTGAGGAGGCATTGAAGGAGGCTCGAGAGCTGAAGGCTCCCGATATCGGTGCTGGCTCAGGTGCAGCAGATCCTTTTAAGGATTATTTTACCGGTGTTGATGACAGTTCCGATATCGGTGATGCCTCTCTTTTGTTAGAGGAAGCTCAACGTTTTATCACTCGGGTAATGATTCTTTCGTACTTGGCTTCTTTGTTCTTTTCCATACAGCTTTTGTTAGGGGAAGCTCCTCGTTTTGATGACAGTTCCTAACTGTGCAGGCCATCGGTAGGTTTCGAGTTGATCTTAGCTAGTGTGAGGCCGAACTCCGGAAGGTCTTAGATGAGAGGGATGACCTTCGACTTCTTTGTAGCAAGAAGGAGGAGGCTATCAAGGACCTTCAAGTGGATTTGGCTAAGGTCCGTGAAGAAAGGGTCGAGCTCGATCAGCCCGTGAACCTTGTTCTATTAAAGTATGGATTCGACTCGACTGTGGAAGTTAACCATCCGTTGTCTCAGTTGCAGCAAAAGATCGAGAAGATCGGGCTACTTCGAGAGGAGGTCGATCAAATCCGGGCCGAATGCAACCAGTGGAAGGAGACTATTGACCGCCTGGCAGCGGAGAAAGAAACCATCTTAACAAAGTTACTATCAGCCGACGTTCAGCTTCAAAATGTCAAGCAAAAGGTGTTGGCTCAGACTAAGAAAATCGATGAGCTTGAGATACGACTTGCTGAGGCTAAGTCGTCGAAAGTCTTGGCGGACAAATCTATCGCTGTATATCGAGCTGATGCTGCCGCTCAGGTAGAGGCCCGGGAAGCGGCGAAGATTGCCGATGCTCGAGCTCATTGGGTTGCCGAACTTGTTAAGTGTAGATCTCGGAGGGAGACCCTCGAGGAGATTCATGCTCGAGGTTTCGATCTTACTGAAGATGTAAGAAAGGCAAAAGAGCTTGAAGCGGAAGCTGAAGCCTTGGCTTCTGATGATGATGACGATGATAATGATGATGGCCTCAAAAGCGGGTCCGAGGGTGGGGAAGACCTTGACCCAGAAGCTTAGAGTCTAATTCTCGTTACCTGTAAATTAATTATGTAGGTAATTTCGTATATATATATGACAAGGTTGATTTTGCTTGTAGAGTTGATGATGATTCAAATATTAACGTAAACTCGTAGCTTTTCCAATGTTTCAAATTCGATTGGGTCTTTGTTTGAACTTGGCAGCCCGTAGGCCCAACGGTCGATTGAGTATTTCGAATAGGAGTAGCCCGTAGACTTAATGTTCGAGTGATTATTTCGAACTCGAGATAATGTGGAAGCCCGTAGGCTTAATATTCGAGTGATTATTTTGAACTCGATGTTGAAGTAACCCGTAGGCTCAATGGTCGGCCGAGTATATCGAACATGATATAGGAGTAGCCTGTAGGCTTAATGTTCGAGTTTTTTTTCGAACTCGAGATTATATGGTAGCCCGTTGCATAATAAATCTCATGCCATTGTACATATGTTTTGGGGCAATCAAATATGAGCATGGTTTATTTTGACCATTTTGGCTCTTACAATTTTTTCTCTATTGTTGTGAGAAGATTTTGTTGCATCTGAACTCGATGTATTTTAGGGCCTGGTGCCCCCCTGTATTCGAGGCCATTCGGGCTAAGCTTCGAAAGCCTCGGATACTATTTTGCCAGTGTAGCACGATCGATGGTTGCCTCATTAAAAACCTTGCCGCAAAAAACCCATTTGGGAAAAGGCCGGTCTAAGGAAAAAAGAGTGCAACATGTGCTTTTGAGCAAAAGAATACTTCCGTTCTTTGTTCAAACTTCTGTACCAGACAGATGAATAAGGCCGGACCTTTGCAGTAGTACCGTTTTAGATGTGATTCATTCCAACTGCTTGATTGCTCTTTGCCGTTTATGATGCCGAGCCTGTACGATCCTTTCCCAAAGTGCTCGAGCACCTGGTA